CGGGGGACACACGTCGGGTCGGGGGTCTGGGGCTGTCGCTCTGGAGACAGTTGCCGGGGAAACCGCCTCGGAGGTTCCCGGGGCCGGGGGCCCCTCCCCTCGCTGCAGCGGACCCCGCACCCCCAGTCTGCGCAAGCGCAGGCCTTGCCCGTCTCGGCCCTCGGCCTGAGACCCTCGAGCCCTTTCCCATCTCACGGACGCCGAGCCTGGGCCGGCGCGGGGCAGCCGGGGCGCGCTGCGCGGAGGTCCCGCCCGTGCATGCCAGCGGCCCCGGCCCTGCGTAGCGCTCTGCGTTCCCCGAGCAGATGCCGTACTTGCCGTCCCCAGTGGCCCGAGCGCGCCCCGGCTCCTTAGTGGTCTGGAATCCCTGGGCTGTGACAGCCCCTGTTTATGGGGACACTGAGGCCAGGGCCGCGGCGGGAAACCCAAGGTCACGCCTGGAGCGGACGGAGAGCCCGAGCGCAGAGCCCAGGCGTCCGGCGGGAGCTGTCCGCGGTGCTGACGGGCCGCTGGGCGCCGCCCTGGCGCGGTTTCCTGGGCCTGTGCGCCCTCTTTCCTCACTGCGCCCTCCCCTCCCGTCCTGGAGGAGTAGGGAGGCAGGACACCCTTGGCAGGGATGCGGGATGTCGCAGGGTTGAGATGGGAGGACCCAGCAAGGCGGGAGGCCCAGGTCCTGGGCCTGGTACCCCGGGCCAGCTGTGGCCCGAAGATTTGCAGGATCAAGGACTTGGGGAGTCTCAGGGCCCAGGGCCCTGTGGCACAGGGGTCTGCTGTCAAGGACACCTTGCCCTGGGGTCTCGGCCCTACAAGTCCCCAGTCTGAGGAGCCTCCGCCCCTCCCCGGCGCCACCTAGACTGGGTCTCCGTGAGTTCATGGACAGGGCAGGACATTGGGCCCCAGCCCCTGCCTGAGAGGGGCCTGGGGGGATGTGACATCTGAGACTTGGTCCCAACGGAGGAAGCAGGGATTATCCAGCCCTCCCAGAGTGGACAAAGCCGGAAACGTATGACAGAGAGACACGCTGAGGTCACCGGGGGTGGGGACAGAGCTGGGCTCGGTGCCCTCCCCACACCAGCCGCGCCCAGGCCGCCCTCCGCTCTCCGCAGCCCCACTGGACATGCACTGTCCGTCGGTCCGTAGCCTCCCCTCCTGATCACCACTGTCCTGGAAGGAGCCCCTCGCCCGAGGCACCCCCCACGCCCGGACACCGGGCCTGGGACTTGAGCTCCAGACCCAGCAGGGCGCAGCGCCGCCCTCCTGGCGTTCCCGCCCCAGCCCTGTCTCACAGAACCAGGCGCCAGACAGGGATGATTCGCCCTGGGCCCCAGGCCTGGAAAGGACCGTCCGCCCCGGCCCTGCGCCCTGTCCACCCTGCCGGCTGCTGTGGGCGGCACGGACAGCAAGACCAGGCTGGGCTCAGACCCAGGGAGACGGACACACCGGCGCGTGGTGTGAGGGCCACAGGAGACCTGCCGCTCTGTGCAGGAGCAGGGAGGGCTGCGGAGGGGCGCGGGGCCCGGGCGTCCCCAGAGTGCCGGCTCTCCAGGCTCAGGAGCCCTGCGATCCCCGCCCGGCCCGCCCTGACGCATCTGGACAGGCCGCGTGGCCGCCTCCCTGCCGGGAACCTCCACGTCCGAGGTTCTGCTGTAAGCGCCGAGGCTTGGCGTCGCCCTCCACATGGTGCGCGGCCAGCCCGGGATGCCCAGGGGGCTGCTTCGCCCTGCCAGGGGGTGGCGGACACGGGGTCCTGGGCCCTGGGGCGTCCCCTGCACCGGGGACGGTGGCCCTCTTCAATCGCAGCCCTGAGCCCGCGGCCGCCCCTTCCCGCCCCAAGCAGCCATTGGCCGTA